GGGAACAAAAGTAAAATACGGTCCTGATACAAGAAGATTAACAGGGCTAACACAGAATCTGTCCTAGTCCAATTTTTCGTGAAATCTACGAAAACGCTATCATTGAATTCGAATAGCTACGAACGTAGCGCATATTTTGAATATACGCGTTCGCAGCAATTCGGATTCAGTGATCGCACTCTCGTGGATTTCACGAAAAACCGGACTACCACGATGGATTCTGTGATAGCCACATAAGCTCCAAGTATGTAGGCTCACGCGGCTCGGTAGCGTCAAGCTTTCAATTAAATACCACACAAGGTATATGGGAGTAGTCTTAGATAGCGAGGAATGAAGGCCATTAACGCCCTATATACATGCAAAATGGTGCTGGGAGTCCCTTGGGGTCACCTGTCGGGATGCATGGCTACACAGAAATATAGACCAATATTATTCTATGGCACTTTGGTGTGGTGGAATGCCGAAAAAAGTCCTCATGCCCGGGTATTTTCGAGATCGTCTATCTAGAGTCCAACATGCTTATAATAGGGGAAGGTCTGTGGAGCCTGCCTTGCATACAATTGCGAAGTGGATGGAGGAAACATTCGCTCATAATGATGCTACAAAAGAGATATTCTTCGACACCGAAAGTGCTTTAACTACGTTCTGATGGAGGCAATAGATGAATTACGAGATAAGCTCGCGGTTGAGAGCAAGTTCATAAAGCTAATCTGCGACTTGTTCAGTGGCAGAACTTTCGCAGCTAATTGTAACAGCGCGTACCTGCAGCGTAAAGTGAACAGAGACATCCCGAAAAGTATAGCAGTCTAGCCTCTGTTCTGTATCGCGGCCGTAAACGATTGATAGCGGACATTCAGATAAGGTCTGTTTCTAGACACAATACACGAACCAAACTGCAGTTATTTAAGCCTAGTTAACCCTCGGTAACTCGCTCGTGGTGCACCCTACACCCCACTACTTATAAGTTTGGCTATGCTTGTTTTACTACTTGTGTCTGAATACTCTAATAAGCCATTGACCCATTTTATCAGTTGATACAAGCTGGTTGCGTCCGCTCATTCGATTAAGAAACAATTGCTTTAAAATTGGCTTGAGGTGTATGGGACACCGCGCGAGTAACGACGTACTAAACATAATGCGCGAATAAGGGAGAGTTAAGAAGCTAGAGCGAATACACAGGCATGCCCTCATCAGCATTTCAGACCATTTCTATTTTGGGGACTGACGCAGGATGACACTTTAAGTCAAGGAAATCATCCTTGTGGCGAGAAGGGGAACAGTGAATTTTTTCTGGGATGCACCGAAGCTGACTAGACATATCGCTCAAGGGTATGGCGTAAATAAAGGAAATAAGTTTTTACTCTAATACCTAAGAGACAGCTAGGGCATTGGGCTCGCTCTAAATTGCGGCGGAATACCCTTGTAATTAGACTTTTATAGGCACTAGGCTACAGAGGCATTATGGTAAACTACGTGGCTGCCGGACTGAAGAGAAAGAATATCCTTGAAACGAAATTACTGGGGATGGAGCGAGTAAGAGCCACACTGACCATCTGCATTCAATCTTCCACTATTTGAGGACCGCATTTCAGCTCGGAAAATATTGGGCTAAAACAAGAACAATCACAATTCCAAGGTACCTCAGACCCAGGAGGGCTCATGGGCGGTCAAAGAAGAGCCTTATGCTTTAGAGCCAGAGCACGTACTTTTGGCGGGCTTTCTGACATGGCCGAATTCACGTAGAGAGACAAAAAATACCACCTGATCCTTCTTGAACTGTACACTTTGTACTTAAAAAAAAAGGAACAGTCCAGCGCCTTCGTCTTGGTCTGCAGGCTGTATCGGAGATACACCCGCTAAATTTAAACGTAGAATACGTGGTATGGTTAA